AATAAGTTGAAAAGTTCTGGATCTAGATTGAAAAACTTTTTATCGTGGGCTGAAGGGGCAGGGGGGGCCACCGAAGAGGCCAACTGTTTGGACACCAGGTCAAGGAAGATGGGAGGAGTTGGGATGACCTCGGTTTCCACTACTGGCTGTTTGAAAATGGAGTCCTCCGGACCTTCCGGAGCAGGAGGGGAGGGATCAGAGGGGTTCTGATTCTTTAGCCTTGATATATTCCTGGCTTTGAACAGGAGGGATTTGAATAATTGGGGCTTAAATAGCCCTACAAAGGTGGGTTGGTCGGGGGTGAGACCCTCATCCTTGGACATCTCCGCCTCCGAAGGGTCCACGCCGGAAAGGGGTTCATTATATTGTAAGGACCCCAAGTCAAACTCCTCCTCCTCCTCCTCCTCCCTACACAGATCTAAGTCCCCTTCCGCCTCCGCCTCCCTTACTGAAGGGGAAACCTCCCCCTGAGGGGGTACCTGTTCCTGGAGCGGTTCTGATCTGAGTGGGAGGGATCTTACGGAATGAGATTCAGATTCGGGGGCCAGCGGATGTAGGCCTGGCCTAACGATCTGTTGGAGTCCTTCCGCGATTCCTTGGCGGATAGCCAACTCCCTCCAGGATCTCAGTTGCTCCGGAACCTCCTGTATAAGTGGTTCCTCCTGGCGTAGGCCGGTGGCTGTGGGCGTGAAGGTAGCCTCTGGTGTCCGTCTGGCCGGTGTTCCAGGGGCCTGGTGACCCTGAGAGGGCGAGCTGCGCCTGGATAGGGAGGAATAGACTAAGGGAGGGGGGGTTGAGTAGAGGTAGAGGGAGTGGAAGGTGGTAGAACGGGAGGCACAGAGCCTGCCTGCCTGGTGCGTCTATCAAATTCTTTTTCCAGTGCCTTGTGGCGTCTTAAGGCGTCCCTCTGGGAGGCTTTGGAGGTATCCTTAGGCTGCCTGCGCAGATGGTGGGTTTTAGATTTAGCCTTCAAGGAAGGGCCTTTGGAAGGATTGCCTTCTGCCATTTCAAAGATAATTGAGTAAGATAAGGAGCAATAAGAGGCGGTTGGCACGCCTAGGGGTCGACCTACAACAAGGCCGGGAGCCCTGAAAAAAATTTCTTTCACGCCCCCCCCCCTTTTAACTTCTTCTATATTGAGTTATAATATTATTTCCTCTTTCTCTATTTTTTTATATATGCAAAATAAAATATATATGAAAAAACAGGTTCAATCAAGCAATGAACACCAGAGGCCTTGTAGAGACAGCTAGGCCTATACCAACTGCCTTCCCAGGCAGAACTGGATGGAAGTGGTGCTGTATTTGCTGCGCCAGCTAAGGCAGGCTGCAGGAAAAGCCAACAAGTAAAGATGGAGAGCTGGACTCCAAAGCAAACAAGGCTGGAGGAAAAACTAACTTATTGCTCTGAGCAGGCCTGCGGGTCCTGCTGCTTGAGCTGTAATCACACCACAGCGTTCGGAATGATGTACAACAAAAAACAAAATGGCGCCCAACCATGAGGCGTCGCTTAAAATGGCTGCCGCCTGCAGCGTGGAATTACGGGGCCTCTAGCTGTGGCAAGGAAAAGCCTCCCCAGGCTTCCGGTTTTGCGTGGCTTCGACGGCAGGAATTCGCAACTCTCCGCGATTCCTGCTGCGCTCACCGCCAAGGTGCCTCCGATCCAAATGGGTCTGGGGGATATGGCTGCCCCGTAGAGGTAGCCGAAGAGAGAGGGGATCCGGACAGGGGTTTGGGGGTGTCGCAGACCCCCTCCTCAGCCGGAAAAACCCCTTTTTCCCAAGGTGGTGGAGCGGCGGTCAGTAATGGCTGCCGCAAAGAAGCCTGCAGCCGGGTAAGATTTGTGCTGGAGGAAGCAGGAGAAAGTGAAAGTGCTGGCTGAACCGGGACAATAAGATACTCTTAAATACCCTGGAAACTGAATTGCTTGAACTGCTTGAAGGATACATTGTTTCCCAAAGAAGATTGGAAAGCTGCGAAGAAAGCTGTCAAGGGAAAGGTTTTTTTTCTTCACTCTCCCTTCCCATAGAAATAGCAGACGGAGATCTGGAAAATCTACTTGGGCACCGAAGGTAATTCAATTTGAAATTTAAAGCCAAGAGATAAAGGATTTCTGGACATTGGATTTAAAAACTTAAAATTCTTTCTATTTGTTACAAGGGGAAGGGAAGAGATAAAGACTTATTATAAGATTGTACTGAAGGAGACTGCTTTGAGCTTATAAGAACAGGAATAAAAGACATTAAGACTTCTAGAAGATCATCTTGGAACTGTGTATTTGAATTCTACCCTAGGAGGTGAAAATATAGAAAGAAGAAAGTGCTAAATGAAACTGTTTGCTCTGATTTGGTTTGCTTTGTGACTTTGGGATTTCTGTGATTTTTTTTTTTTAAAAAAGGGACTAAAGACATTAGGGTTGTTTCAAAAAAGAAAGAAAGAAAAAATGGCATTATCTTTTGAAGGACTACAAATGGAATTTCAAAGACTGAAAGAAGAAGATAAGGGCTCTTCTGGATCTATTTTTCACTTTTTAGAAATGGCAATCACTACCTATCAAGAAATACGACAACGATAGGAAGGCTGGGATGAAGGAGAAGAAGCCATCTTTAATGGACAAAACACACTTAGTGGAGGAAGAAAAGCGGAAGGGGGGCAACGAAAAGGTGAACTTAGAACTTAAAAAAGCAACCAAGAAAAAGAAAAATGAGATGAAAAGGCGATATGATGTCAGAAAGCAACAGAAAAGAGAAATACAACAGAGAGGAAGACTAAGAGAGTGAAATTTGAGAGATGGGGGAGTCAAAAAGTTAGAATGGAGAAGAAAGAAAGGGGAAAAGGAAAGAGAAGTCATAAAGGCTTTAAACAAGATGCTAAAAAACGAATTTTTTTCAGAGATAAGGGGTAAGATAATTTTATAAAAATGATTCTGCAAAAGTACATAAGAATGTATTGTAGACATTAGTATTTGAAGCTGAGTTAGAAAATCAAAATATTATATGAGTTAAAAATGTATTAAAGGGAAGCCATGATTTAATTATAGAGTTTAATTTCTTATGAAATATTGTTTTTATTGTTTAAGAATTAATAATAGAATCTAATTCCCTATGAAACATTGTTCTTATTATATTATAAATTTAATATTCCTTTTTCATCTTTTTTTAGTTTTATTACTACTTATTAAATTCAATATTATTTGTTTGTTTTATTATTTTGAAATGTAATACTTAGAATGTACGGAGCAGAATCAGTACGCAAAATATGTATTATCTTAAGTGTTACTTAGGGGAAAGATAAAAGGTTGTCACACTTCAATCAGTGTTTACAGGAGAAATATTGTATTAGATAGAAAGGATAAATAGGTGATTGAAAGAAAACGGACCAAAGATGCAAATATAATTATTTAAATTGAGATGGAATGAATAAAATAGAATTAAAAGAATGAGTAGGAGAGAGAAAATATATGGAAAATAGAGAATGTTAAATAAGATATGAGATAGTATATTAAGTGAGTATAAACTTGGATTGATGTCTGTATAAAAAGAGTTAACCCGGGGTAAGCCGCTTTCCAAAAAGAAGTTTTATGTATTTATGTTTTGTGTAATGTTTGTTTAAGTTTGATAGGATGTGGAAGAGCACTAATGAAATTATATTCAATGAGTATATAACTTCAAGGCAGAAGAAATATGACTAAATAGAAAGAAAGGGAGTAATAAAGAGAAGTTTGGAAAAGATATGAAGTTGATTAGACAAGATAAATATATATATTAAATTATAGAAATGTGATAATTTGGAATTATCTTTTTAAATCAGATGGTTTATTTGTTTCTTTTAGAAAAGATATTTTATGTTACTACATCCTATGCTCTGTTTGTTTGTATATTGTATTTAAAAAAAAACTAATAAAGTTTGTCCAAAAAAAAAAGAAAAGCCTCCCCAGGGACAATGCAAGGTCCGCAAAGAAGAGGATAGGCAAGGAAGAGGCAAACAACTCTTCCGGAGAAGAAAAACGGCGTTCGGTGTGTGTGGGGGGGGAAATGGAGCGAATCGGAGCGAATTAAATCAAATCGTGGCAAAAGTTCAGAAAGGAAAGAAAACGGCAGGGAGGCAACAAGAAGGATGCGGGGGTAGCGTGGAGACACTGCTAGCCCTCCCCTTGTCACCCACTGGGGCTAGGAAAAGGGCTTCCCAGGGGAATTTAGCAGTCCAAACCAAATGCGCAGGGCTAAGAGGAATAAAGAAAAACAAAATACAACCTGAGAGGAGCAAAGCAATGAGTCAAACTAAGGATCTGTTGAAACGGCCAAGAGAACTTCGAAACACTGCCTACTCTGCACGAGGCTGAGCATAAACTGGGAAACGCTGTAATGGAGTCACGTGATGGAAGGAGGAGCATTCCTCAATAATTAAGCTCAGCCTACAACAGCAGAGAGTGAAGCACCACCCACTCTCTGGATGATCCGAGCAGCTCTAAGGAGAACTAGGGCATCCCAGATCCCCACTTCCTTTTCTAAAAAAACAACAACCTGTATACTCTTAAGAGACAAGATGGTATTGGTGGCGTCACATTTGTGGCATCATAGTTGAAATATTTTTATTTAAATAACTTCAGTCTATACTTGACTAAACTGTTGATGTCTGAACTTTTTACCTTGAGAAGAGATTTACTAGTGTCATGATTAAAACTTGTAATAAATGAAGTGGTGGTGAGATACTGTGAGGCAGAATTAAGTAGCTACCTCAGGCAGCTGATTGTAAGGTCATGAAAAGGCAAGCAATGTGTTGATTATTTAAATTGTTAGCATATGTTTACTGAGGGAGAGGTTTCTAAAGCATTCATAAAACACAGATTGCAGCAGATATATGTGATTCTGCCTCCACTTACATTTTGTGAGTGATGGTCTTCAATAATTTTTAGTCCTTTCAAGTGAGTCTTGAAAGATATAAAAGTTGAGAATCTGGTCTGTAAAGTTCTGACACTCTATTTTTTGTTTGTTTGTACAGCTGAAAAAGTAACTTCCTTGGGAAAAGATTGGCACAAATTCTGTTTGAAATGTGAGCGCTGCAACAAGACCTTGACACCTGGGGGGCATGCAGAGGTAAGAGATCAGATAATGAGAAGATTAAGCATTAAGTTTCTGTATCATTTACAGTCAGTGATTGAGTTACATAAATGCCACATTTTGATACAAAATAGAGACTATATGGAATATTTTTGTTTTATTAGTTTTCCCCTCTTTATTATCTGTATTTTACTTGAATAATTTTACATAATTAGAGGAATAAAAGAGTTGGAAGGGATATTGGAGGACTTCTAGCCCAACCACCTGCTCAAGCAGGAGACTCTATACCATTCCGGACAAATGGCTGTCCAATCTCTTTTTAAAAACTCCAGTGATGGAGCATCCACAACTTCTAGAAGCAAGTTGTTCCACTGATTAATTGTTTCACTGTCAGGAAATGTCTCCTTAATTCTAGGTTGGATCTCTCTTTGATAAGCTTCCATCAGCTACTTCTTGTTCTGCCCCTCCGAGGCTTTAGAGAAAAGGTTGACTCCCCCACTCTACAATAGCCCCTCAAATATTTGAAGACTGCTATCATATCACCGCTAGTCCTTTTTTTCATTATACTAGACATACCCAATTCCTGCAGTCATTCATCGTATGCTGTAGCCTTCAGTCAACTAATCATCTTTGTTGCTCTTCTCTGAACTATTTCTAGAATCTCGACATCTTTTCTGTGTCATGGTGACCAAAACTGGACACAGTATTCCAAGTGTCTTACCAGTGTGGTATAAATCAATATTAAGACTTCACATGATTTTGATTCGATCCCTTTGTTGATACAGCCTAGGACAGAATTAGCTTTTTTGGCAACTGCCACATATTGCTGACTTGTGTTATATTATCATATTATCTCACTTGTGTTTAATAAAATGTTATATTTCTTGTTTCATACAGTTTAATTTTTTTTAAAAATCCCTAATTTGCTGCTTCAATTAATTGTGGATGGAAAAGCAATTCAGAACTGATCCATTTAATTCTGTAAACTCTGTGGTGAGACCAGACATTTCTGTTTTCTCATGTTTACAAGTCTATTTCAGGGGATGATCTGAGAGATTTGACCAGACTTGTAGATAGTGTCTGATGGTGTTCTTAAGTTTTGGCTTTACCTTTACCTTTGTCCAAATAACTCCATGGTACTTTTGGGACAGATCATATGGAGATAGCGGTTTATTGTCATAAAGATATCCCACAATTCTTTTCTACTAAACTCCTAAACTAAACTTTTCTACTAAACTCCTAAACTGTCGTCCTAATTGGGGACAGAGAGTTAATTGATTCAGAACATTTCTGTCCCCAACAATCTAAAACTAATAGGGTTATCTGTGCATGTAACATAGATATTTGTGCAGACAAGAATATCAACTTTGCTGTCAAGCAAAACCAAGCTTTTAATAGTGAGTGCCATGTTCACTAATCAAACAGGTGGCAAGGAAGTAGGGGAACTCAGGGACAAAACAGGTTATGTAAACACAGGGTCAGTCAAAAAGGACTCAAATGTCTACACACCAACGCACAGAGTACGAGGAATAAAGGTGAATTAAAAATTCAAGGAATTGAGGGCAGATATGATATTGTTTAAAATAAACAAACTAAATAAAAGAAGAGGTGGAGTTGTACTATGTATAGGAAAAAACTACATCTCTACAGAAATAGAGTACAACAATGATGAAACCTCTCTTGGGATTTGGGTCAAGAAATGGGGGAAATGACATTGCCATAGATGTATACTATAGGCCGGGGTCGCCAACCTTTTGGACCTCAGGGACCACCAAAGTCATAATTTTAAATCCCGGGGACCACTAATATGAATTTTGACTGACAGCAGTTTGCTGACCTTGGGGAAGGGGGGAGGGGAGAGAGAGAGATCTAACCTCTCTCTCTCTCTCTCCCTCCCCCCCCCACACTTACAGAGGCAGGGTCAGGATTCAAATTTCTTAACTGGTTCTGTGAGCTTGACCTAATTTGTGGTCACATGACTGGCTGGGCATGGCTTGTATGTAAATATATTTATGTAAATATTGATTTTTTTATGAAAAAGAGCAACTTTTACCCAAAATCAGGCAAAGCAGGCAGGCAGATTGAGTTGCTCACAGAATCACAGATTCATTCAGAGATTCACAGATTCACATAGAGATTTTATGATTCTGCCATCAGCTACCTGCACTGAACCTGCACTGAAGCTTCAGTCCTAAGGAAGATTCGGCTCTGCTTAGAGACGAAGATCTAAAGATTAGCTAGAAAGCAAGAAATCCAACGGCTTCCTGCTTTCTAGCTAATTTAAATCTCCCAGTACAGCAGAACAACTGATAGTCAGGGGGAAAAAAAGAAAAAATAGCAACTTAGCAGGCAAGTTTGCCAGGTAAGGAGTGAGTGGGCGGGGAGCGTTCCCATGGGCTATGTGGGTGGCGCAGCCTTGTGTTCCTGAGCAGCCTGGATTAATTTTTTTGGGGGGTGCTCTGGGGTGACATTTCTCTGTGGACCATCAAAATTTTCTCACGGCCCACCGGTTGGCGACCATTGCTATAGGCCGCCCAACCAAACAGAGGAAATAGATGAACTTTTTGTTAGTCAGTTAACTAAACTATATAGTAGGGGTGTCAAACTCAAGGCCCACAGGCCAGATCCAGCCCATGATGTTTTTAGATCTGGCCCATGGGACAGACAGTGAAGGACCAGCCCCCAGTGCCTTGGCCTCAGCCCAGGCTGGCCAGGTGCTGATCAATCCCTTGGTGGCAGACATCTAGACTGGAATGCACCCTTTGATCCATGGGGCTGCCCTGGAGCCAGCGACGGGCCACCCCTGCCCCGCCTCTTGGGCACACACATAGGAGGAAGCAAGCACATGGTGCCTGGTGTCCCTGGTGACTGTCTTGCCCTGCAAGCTGGCATCCTGGGTTAAAGGATGCCAGCTTCCCTTTAATCCAGGATGCCAGCTCCCACATACTCGCCAGCCCCTGTGTGCACACCTCTCATTGGCTCCAGGGAGGTCCACGGGTCAGATCTAAGTCTGACCATGTTCTGGCCTGGATGGTCACCACCAAGTTATAGATCAGTGCCATGCCCACACCAGCGCCTCCAAGGCCCACTTGCCAGTCAGGTCTCACAAGCCCGCAAGGGTTCCCTTTCACTGGGACCACCCCATCTCTGTGTGGGAAAGCCATGGCCACTGCGGCACGCCCACTGGCAGCGCTACTAATCTCTCCTCTTCCCCTCATCAGGTGAGAGTGTGTTTGGAGGACCAAGCCTCCCTCTGAGCCATGCACTTTGCTCTCCTGCACCCATTATGAGCAACCTGGCCAAGGAGATCAATCACAGCAGCAGCAGCAGCAACCTCGATGTAAGCGCAGCTGGACACCCCCTTATGGAAGCGGAACTGGGCTGGGCAGCAGGGACCCAGTGCCTTGGAAGTCAAGAGCTGGCCTGGGCACTTGGCTTCTTCTGCCTAGGGTTCTGGGCAGCCTGTGCCGCAGTGGTGGGATTCAAAAATTTTTTACTACCGGTTCTGTGAGTGTGGCTTGGTGGGTGTAGCTATGTGACTGGGTGGGTATGGGGTTTTTTGGGGAGGTTTTTTGCCACCCCATCCATTTTGGGGAGCTTCCAAGCCTCAGAGGAACCTCGGGTGGGGGGGGGCGCGTTTTTGCTCCCCTAAGGCTCCTCTGAGGCTCAGGAAGAAAAAAAACAGAGCATGGGAGGGGCACGCAGCACTCCTTCAAGCTCCGTTTTGGGAACTTCCTAGCCTCAGAGGAGCCTCTGGGAGGGCGTTTTTGCTCCCCTAAGGCTCCTCTGGGGCTCTAGAAGGCAAAAAATGGAGGGGGGGGGGGCTGAGCTCCCTTCATTTTTTGCCTTCCTGGGCCTCAGCAAGAGGAATCCCGGCACAGCTGATCTATGCACAGCTGATTGTCGGGAGGGAAAAAAAATACCTTAGGTGAATGTCAGGCAGGCGGGTAAGCGAGCATCGGGCAGGAGGGCAACCAGATCGGGGGCATGGCCAGCCAGAAGTTACTACCGGTTTGGCGACCCACACCAAATTCTTGCTAGTGGTTCGCCCGATCCGGTGCGAACTGACTGAATACCACCACTGCTGTGCCGCCATCTGGGGGTCCTCTGCATGGCCTGAGAGGGACTGCAAGGCTCCTCTAGTGGACTAGGCTTTGGCACTTGCCCTGGTCTTGCCTTCCTCCCTGGAGAACTCCAGACCCCCCACTTTCAGCCTTGCCTGGCCCACCCACAGGAGGCAAAGGATGCTGCTTCTGCGTGTGGAAGCATGCAGCAGAAAGTTCACAGGAAGCAATTTTTTCTGAGTCCAACTTCTGCCTTGACAGATCCGGATGACACTTCTCTGGAGAGGAGAAAAACCCATGCTGACACTTCTCCTTTGGAGAGGAGATGTGTCAGCCGAATCTCCAGCATGGGTTTTTCCTTTGATGCATGCTTACTATTGGCTGCCATAATAACGGGGAGAGGGGGCATGGCATTTGGGTTTGGGAAGTGAGCTGGTGAAGTAAAGGCTCATGTGAACTAAAAGGGAGGTTTGCTCTCAAGAATTACTGCGCTGCTGAGTGGAGTTGTTTAAATCCAGCCAAGGCCAACCCATCCTAGAACTCCAGATGGACAAAAATACCTGAAGATGTGCTTCACATGACGTTATGCAGGATGTGGATTGGACATTCAGCCTGGGTCTCTGAGGGGAGGGATTTGGGGAAACTTTCAACCTGTAACTTTCATGCCTTTTGAATCAGAACTTGCTTTGCTTTCACCGCTATCATTTCAAACTCAGTAAAAGTACCTTTTCTTTACCTCAATGGAGTTGGGGGTTTTCTTTCTTGGGTTTTGAACAGAGGCAGGCCTAACATTAAGCAAGATCTGCTTTATTGGCTAAACCGTAGACCCAGTCTACCAAGGGGACTGAGCACATAATGTCAACCCACCAGAGCAACTAGGAAGACTGTGGAGCCCTGGGGTCAACTTCCCCCCAGCCACACAGGTACCATGAGGAGACAGAATGGATGCGGCTCGATAAGATTCCAGTCTGA